TAACTCCCAGCAAAAATGAGAATTAAGAACTCAGCAGCTTCAACCTCCATTCTCTCATTCAGTTTCTCCCAGTGCCTTTCATCCCCTACACCCAGGTCCCTTTGTCCTACCTCCACCACTGCTCACCCACTCATGCCCTTGACTCTCCCACTTTGAGTCTTTCTGCCTGCATTATCTTAAAATTGAGAGGTAGGGGAGAGAGGAGATGGAAAGTCACAAAACCAAAGCAGTGGCTGTCTAACCCTGCATTGAACCTCCCTCAGAAAAAATCTCAAGGTCAATTAATGTCCTTCCTGCTGTTTGTTCAAGCCCAGAGTCCATTTTGGCTTTTGTTTGTTTGTTTTTGTTTTTGTTTTTTTGAGAGAGAGAAATAGAAAGAGAGCGAGAAAGAGCCAGTCCACAAAGGTATCTAAAAGACTAAAGCGTGCGTTTCCAGGATCTGTTAATGAAAATTGTTTTCCCAGCTTGAAAATTGCCACATTTAAACTCCCAATGTGGGGTAAGAAAATCGTAAATATGAACTCCTTTTCAGGCAGCAAATCAGCATTTTGAGTGTCTCTGCTTTGCCTTTGGGGATTCATATGCCATAGTCTAGTTAGCTGCCCAGTGACTGACAAACATAAATAAAAGGTAATGGTTGTAGTAAACAGAGTTCCTGTGAGTCAAAAAGTGTTTCCCAGGGAGGGATCAACATGCTTGTGATCACACTACAGTCACTAAATAGCCAAAGTTTAGCTCTTATAAAAACAAACAAATAACAAAGGCAATAAATATAAAAACTTCTGCCCTTTCTTCTGGCCCTGTCCACTGTCTACACTCAGCAATGCAGTAGAGCAGGCATCTGGAAGTTCATAACAGTAAGAAGAACAGGGCAAAAGGCCAAGGGAGAGGACTGGATTTGATGGCCTATTTGCCTTCCCCTTCAATGCCCCTTGCCACCCACTAATGCCATAGTTCCTCTGAGCCCTTTTCCTTTTTCTCATTACGGCTTTTTGGTAGCCTGTGAATCCATCTCAGCTATGTTAAGTATAAAGTAGGCCTTAACTTAAGGTGTTATCATCACCATGGAATCCTTAGGAGGATGTAGATAAATAGCAAATGGGGAAAGTTGTCCTGAAAGATGGCCAACTCCTTGCTTGAAGAATTAGATTAAGCATTAAAGG